GATGTGCGCAACCGTGGTATATGTAGGTGGCCATGATTTGCACAAAAGAAGTCCACATAATGTATAAAGCAAAAGCGTTGTGAGACTCGTACACGTCCACACAGTGTTTTGCCCTACCTGGGGAAAAAAGCCTTCGGAGGCATTTTGAGGTCAGGGCTTACCTTGGCAACATGAAGAGGAACAGCTCGGGAAGTCATCAAGAAACCAGCTTGAAAGTTATGATTAGGAGGAAAATAACAAGTTTTAACAAGTTTTCTCAACCACAAGAGAATAAAAGAATGCCCACACTACGTACATGTGAAACAATTATGTATGAGTTAGCAGTGTTCAGTCCATTGCATGCACTGGGTTGCCTGTTGCATTTTGTTTACGAGCTTTTTGAAAGCGTTATCGTTTGTATTTTTCCAAATTCATAAATCAAACGCCGCGAGAAGCCCATTTCGCTTTCCTTAGCTTTCCCCTCTTCTCGGCGGGCTGCCCAGCTTCGCGATAAATGCCCTTCGATATAAACCTCTGAATGCGGACCTCCGGGCTTTTCATTTCGAATTTGACAGACCAGATTAAAGCCTTCATTCTATTTTTGGCGAGCCGGAGACACTTTGCCTCTCGGAGCAATATCGGTATTTCACAGGAAATGAATAAGGGGAACAAATTCCATCCTGTCAGGCATAGGAAGATGCTACAAAAAGGGGGGAATAAGACAAGTGACACTCTGTGACACTAGAGGTTCTTTAACAAACCGGGATTTAGCGTTCATCTTAATTCTAGTGTACGTCTGTAAAACTACACCAATATGTGATGCTCTGAGAAACCCTCATCATCGTTAAATATCGCCAACAATTGATTGTTCGGTTTGCACGGAGAACGGTCTAAGACATGCCGGTCTGCTTACCCGGTAAAGAACATTGGTTGTCTCAAACGATGCCATCCAAGGCTGACGAAAGAACGTGATAGTGAAACACTTTTACTATAGCTTAGTTCTTACAAGGACTCCGAACATCATTGATAATGATCCACGTGATATACCTGGCCTCCATTCCAATCCATGATCATCTCGAAGGAAGGGCCAAAGTAACTCTCACGACGAGGCATATGTGACTTAACTATACAATTTGAAATTTACTAGTATTTTGGTCAGGGTGAGGGATATCAAACTGCGTGTAAGCAACTACCGCCTCATCGGGATCACACCGGATTAAAGTTTGTCGGTCAAATACTGCCGGGAGACATCACTCCTGCTCCAACTATTACTCCTAAATATCGCCAGTTACCATGGAGATGTTTCTTTGACAGTCTAATGAGAAGCTCTGTCCAGAACGACCCCCCCCCTTTGAATTTTTTTCCATGGTACTTACCTGCCGCTGCCATGGTTATAATGCTGCTCGAACGGACCGAAGAGAGTTAGGTATTAACGTTTCTCCTCTGGGAAAATTCGACTTGTCAAGGAACAGTCACGTTGAAAAAAGTGTCAAATATGACATTTCTGCCGTGCAGTTTCCCTCTGCCGTCATTTTCATTTTGACAAAAATGTGACCTCTGATTAGTGGCTTTTCTCCTTCTGCCTTCACAATGAACGATTCCTATTCGTTAGTTTCTCCTGAAATCGAAAGGATCATTCCAATTACATTTCAATCACATAAGGAAGATTAAATCGGTATGTGGAAGAAGCATGTTCGCTTACGTCTTGGAAGGAACACGTGCGCTTCTGTTAAAGAAGACATAATTTGGCGATACACTCCCAAATCATATAAATAATCTTTATGTCTTAAATACAATAACAAAGCAAGACGCCGTGCCGTTGTGCTTAGTGCATGCGGGCTGCATCGCTATAGTGACACTGGGCTATGCAATGCGATGCTGTTTAGGCAGTGCGACATTGAAATGTGCAGTGCTACTTGGTTCCAGCGTTGGTGGACGTGCATCGCTGATAGCGTTCATGTGATGCGACATTGTTTTGTGCTTTGCATGTAGGAGTTGCCCGAGGCGACATTAGTCAGTGCGTTGCTGATTGGCGCGACGCAGTGCGATATTAGCTGTGTTTTGCTAATAGCCTCTCCTCAAGACCATGCAAAGCAATAGAGGTTGTAATAAAGCTTACCCAGTACGAATTATCCATAATTAATCACTTAATTATTCGTTGAATGTCTGAATAAATCACATTGTTGTTGAGGTTACCAGCAATCTAATTGTCAGGTGTCCTTGTTGTTGTGTAATATCTAATTGGCAGAGAGCATCACAGTCATCATAATCGGCGGTATATTTCCTCCAAAACGGATCTTCTCCTTTATCCTTTAGGTCGCTTTTAGTGATATCTGGACCGAGGAGGAACCCAAGTTTAGGATAGAGCCAAGACCCCAACCGGTTTCAGACTTGATCATCAAACTTAGGTTAGGCCCGGGGAAACAACCACACCGCCACACAATCAAGAATCCAAAGGTCCGTTCAAGAAACAGGTCTTTTCTTTTGGAAAGTGTGTCAGCCCAATTATTTTCTCATGTTATTCACGCAAATTTACCTCAGTAAAACGAACTGCTTACAATAAAAGAAGATTTACAAGAGAAGACAATTAACTCAAAGAATGAGCATATAGTGGAAACACAGTTCCTAAAATGCTTTCAGAGTTATCAGGATTTTGCCGTCACCACGACGATGCAATGCGTAAAGGCCAGTGACTAAAGATAGATTTGCAGTAAACTTTCGTTGATTTAAATTTGTGCAACTCTTGTAAATCGAATTCGTAGCGCGAATATTTGATCTGAAGTCACAAATTCGCGTTTGTATTCGCTTATGCGCCAAGTATGAACCGGACTTTTCAAAGTCAGATGGGGCATTTTTGGGTGATGTTAGTTTTGGTGTAGTGGTTGTTTTTATCGGTCTCACTTGTGGAAATGTGATGCCGTTATTTAAGTATCATTTTCTTCCATATCAGGATTGCCCTGAAATGCAGAAGTTGTGTATCAAGCAGTGTGTGTTGTTAACTTTTTAGTATGGGCCCTGGGTATAGTTTCTTTAAAACAGGGAGGCCGGAATCGTGTTATTTAGACACTTGAGTAATTCTTTTCCATATTAATCTCAGCAACTGAAACCAAATAAAGTAGAGTTTCTGATTCTTCACCCTGAGGTGTTCTTTTCAAATACCTTCGACTTTCACTTACATTCACCAGCACCAACCTTTTTGGGTCTTGAGAAACCACAGAAGGTTCCTTTGTTACTAGCCAAATCTATTTTTTTAAAAGCATGGTATGGCTAAGTATCATTAAATTTTGCTGAGCTAGATAGACGCTATTCGCCATACCATATACGAAAGAGCTGTAGATCGACTGCTCTTTGATGAGCATAAAACGGCACTTTACCCGTTCGCCCAGCTTTTGGTCAAAAGTAGGATTTTGACCTATTGTTATTTTTTAAAAATTCGTATACATCTTTTCGCTTGGGCAGTATAGTATCCACAGCATATCGCCTGTGTGTTTGTACTAGTGTTTGTGAAGTTTTTCCTCAAAAACAAAAGTTGTCAATACAGGCATGACGATAGTAAGTAGACTAACCCCAAAGAAAGAAATGCCAGCCAAAACGCAGGCATTGACATTCAATCCTATTTCTTTTCCTAGTTTTGAATTCCTGGAATGTACTGTGATCACATAATCATTTGCATCTGAGGTGAATTGTGATGGCACTGGAACCAGGAAACTATTTTTTTGCATCCAAACGTGGACTTTCCTTTTGTGTATATGTATATATATATATAACTCATTTCGGTAAAGTCCTCAGCTTAAACAGATCGGTAACTGGGGCAACACTGTACATAGTAAATTTAAGTTTAAGTTAATAATATGAAAGATAAGGAGTGAGATAAATTCTACATCCCCATTCCTTTCTGATACAATTAATGGTGTCAAGGCCACTGCTTACACCGAGAATGATATAACCACTGCATGCATAAGGCTCAATTAATGATGCAGCATCAGCCTAAAAGGACTGGACAGAAATTAAAGGTATCATTTCTTGCTACTCTCTCTGGGTATTTCAAGTCTGCGAGTTACGTGTTAAAACCCTTGGCTTCCTTTACTTCTTTCTGGTAATTTATTCAGTATTTTTAAGTCTGTGCCCTTAATTGATCTCTTTTCGTTAGTGTCGTAATGCAGCAAATGAATGTGCTCCATGCAGAATATTGAGGGAGGTCATTACTTCTGTTTGGCATATGGAAAAAAAACATGAAACGAAAAGAAAAGAAAAAAAGCAAAAACACAATACGTGTGGGCATCGGGTGTCCATGACCACAGGTGTGTCTCGTGTACTTAATCTTTAATGGAAGCTTGCCTCTGGAATACGCATCGCAGAGGAAATTCCTATTCCTTCTAGCGTGACCTTGAAAAGACACTTAGTGTAAAGTTTGCTAAATTCCTGTCTTAAATGATTCACTGTTGGCCTCAATATGATACATTTAGAGTGGAAACCCCTGCGCTTGACAAGTTTAACTCCCTCAAAGAAAGACAGACTTTTGGGCCTGAGGTTTTGGGGAGGGGGACTATGTGTCATGATTACTCCTAAAGTAGTTCGACATGAAACACTGAGAAAAGAATTTTTAGAAAGGCTGCAACTTTGCTGTTGCACAGGAAGCTACTTCAATCTCCGAAGAATTTGAATTGAATTCTCAGTTCTGCACTGAAGTTGATTTTTTTCGACTCCGGCTACTTATCTTGTAGTTCCGTCTGTGCCGTCTGCTCCGTCTGTGCCTTCAAGCAAGACTTATCGCAGCACAAACACTGAATGTATTTCAAAGGAAAGAGACTAATACCATCTCTTAATACAAAGGAATCGACGTGTGCATATTTACACTTTTGGAAAATGCAATAACCCTTTAAGTTGAACTTGTTGCGGGTTTTAAACTAGAAAAACACCTGTCATGCTAGACGTTCCTCCTCCACGAACATATGCCAACAAGGGTTGTTTTTATTTACTTTTTCTTTGTTCTATAATTATTATTTCTGTCATTTTTACAGGTTCCTTTGTCGTGCACAGTCCAGTTGCCATATTCTACGTTCTGGAGAATGATAAATGTTTTATGAAGATGGGACAGAATGGGAGAGACGCCAGGTTCTACTACTTGGGCTCGTTTCTCTCAATGTACGTGATCCCCTTAGTCGTCATCCTCATGTGCTACGCTAAGATTCTTGTTATTGTGTGGCGGAAAACATCAGCAGGCACCGAAAGCGCCCAGGCCCACGAGCGGTCCATCCGCCAGAAGCGTAAGATCACACGCATGGTGTTCATCGTGGTTCTCCTGTTTGCAGTCTGCTGGGCGCCCATCCACTGCATGATACTCTGGGAGAAGTTCCAGGAGCCCTTCGATCTCAGTATGCCAACTCGAATGGCTGTGACCGTCTTACGGTTCTTTGCGTTTTGCCTGTCCTATGCCAACAGTCTAACCAACCCCTTTATATATGCTTTCACGACGGCCAGTTTTAAGAAACACTTCAAACGGGTACTGTCCTGCTCAGCCCCCAACGAATGCACGGACACAAAAAGCATGGGTCCATCCACCACATACAAGAAGATTGGCAAGTACGTCAATGAATATTCGTCCGTGAACACTTGTGATACTAAAGTGTGACTATACCAATCCCGTATCCTCTTGAGTTCTAACGCCTTTAAAAGCATCAATGTAGACAACCACGACGCATCAACGCAGGCTTTGTTTTTGGTAGGAAATATATGTACATTTACAATTTGGAATTCTATTAAGAGTGACCGATCAGTCTCTTTTTTGTTGGCACCGAGATCTCTCAGTGGTCCTAGGGCAGTAACCTCTTACTATTGGGTCTTCTTGTTAAAATGACGAAGACACTCGCAGACTGGAATGCCATCGTCGTCGGAAATTGATTGGAAGAAATCGACCCGCTCTGCACTGGACTAGACGTACTTTTGACTTACCTCATCGAGTATGACACGGCTAATGGATTCCTTTATCGGCATTACTGTTTGCAGATTTCTGGTCGAGTCCCCAACAAGTTTCAAAACAAGACAGCCTGCTCAGGACGTGTAGCTGCGTCGACCATGGCGGCGCCACGTGAGCGCTTTGCAGATTTAAATTTGCCGCGTTCCCAAACGCTTTGACAGTACGTGATTGTGTATGTGCTTGTCCACACAATGTGTTACAATTAATCATAACATTTGCCTAAAATTCTAAAGATCACAAGTGCGATTTTACTACATTGCAGATTGTTGCATTGTCATGAGGCTTGAAATGAATTAAATGAGGTTGCAACAAATGTACGATTTTGTAGAGATAAGGATTTTCTTTTAGGCTGAGTGTTTTCCTTACATTTGAAATATTTCAAATAAGGAAAAAGATGCAGTTTGTGCAAGAGTAACACATCTTTGGACAGCTCTCAAGATGTACATCTTTATTTCTACCGCTACTGACTATTATGTGTATTCCAACAGCTATGGCGTTTTATTGTTAATGTTCATAAGCAGTGCCTGTGATTGTACCTGTTTTCTTAAACAAAAACAAAAACAAAAAAAAAACAAAAAAACACGGAAAAAGAAAAATCTTTCAGGCTATCAATTGTTTTTATCGGCCGACTATTTCTATCGTCTGTGTGATCTGCAGCATATTCACATTTTTTTTTCTTTGCTGCAAATTGTCGTTTTAGTGAATTTGAAGAATTTTGCCTGAAAGAGAAAATGTCGGATATTATACCTGTACCTTCGAAATCATTGGAAATCGATATCATTAATTCTGTATATAGTACATAGAATTATACGTCCCAGGCACGGGTACTTTTTGTTTTCATTTTATACTATTTTTAACCATTTTCTTTTAATGTAGATACGTATATATATTCCACATTATCTTGAAGGAACAACAGTAACTATGACAGTAGTTGTCTAAATATCTTGCGTTTGAGTGTTTACCTAGCTTCTCGTTAGTACAAATAATCAGTTTTGTAGCGTAATCTTGCAACTGTACATTTGTCATTGAGTTGTCACAAAGACACCTCAACTGAAGCAAAGAAAAAGAACTCCAATTTTCCATGAACAAATAAATATCATTACAAGACTAAATTACATAATCCTTGAAAACTGCGCACATTTTGCGTTCTTGTAAAGTTCTTGGAGAATTGGACCATATTTGTTGCTGAATCAAGGCAAAATATCTATCTCAAAATAAGACCTTATTAATTTTTCTTTGCCTGATCTATAGTTTATGTATATATTTCTTTATTTTATTGATAGATCTGAAACAATGAAGTTGTTCAGGGGCTGTCAAGGAAAAAACTAAAGTTATAAGAAGTCCAACACTGAAAAAGATAAGAATGAACGCTTGTTCAAACCACACAAAATCATAAACACAAAAAGGACAATCACAACAATTCAACATGTGAAAATATTCAAGACACTAGGCATAACGGAGAAAAAGCCAACAAAATGGCACTTTGAAAACAATAAACGAAAGTAGAAAATATTACACACAGGATAAAAAAAGAAAAAATACTTGTACAATTAATTTTTAAAGAACTATGTTCAATTTGACGAAAGCTTTGTAAATATAAAAAAAAATGTCTTTTTTCAGCGTAAATAATTTCTCCATCTGGTGTGTTTCATCTCAAAACAATAACGTGATTACACATTTTAGATTAGGCCAACAAGGCATGGATAAGGATGTAGAAATAAAAACAAATCACTTAAGTGTCCTGCGTCAGTTACATTATATGATTTCAGTTACAATATATGATGGTTTATATATATATGAGTGTCCTGCGTCAATTACATTATATGATTTCAGTTTACAATATATGATGGTTTATATATATATGAGTGTCCTGCGTCAGTTACATTATATGATTTCAGTTACAATATATGATGGTTTTCGAGACCATCGGTGGGGGGGACAAAATATGGAGCTAGTGAAGAAGACAACGCAATGTCTGGAGACCGATTGTTGTCTTGATCAGTCCTTGAGCTTGATTCCTACATGCCCCCATCCGGTGTAGTGAAGCTTGACTTGATTGTCAAAATCAGTCCCTATATTTGTACTAGTCATACGAGAGAGGAAGTCTCGGTTAATGACTCCATCAACTCAGCTGTAGCGGACAGGTTTCTTTGATCAGGTCTATTTGATGGGTTTAATCAGACTTAATGAAAAATGTCGGTCAGTTAAACGGCAGCTTGCCGTTAGCCGAGAGTCGAGGAAATGTAGGAATTTGATTTGACATTACCTCGAGGCTAATACCTGCATCAATATTTCGGCTTCTTGTCAAAGATGAGATGTCTGAGACACGAAGCCCATTTCCTACCGTCATATATTCCCAGCTTTGCCTGCGTCCTCATTGGTGACCGACTTTGGTGACGCATTCTGTCTCGTGGTACTTCAGGGAAGAGAGAAACTTCCCACGTTCTCTTTTTTACATGACACTGACATGTCATCAGCATGGGATGATCAATATAATCTCAACTACCTTCAAGTAGGGACACTAGACATGGTAATATTCGCAATGACAGCGTTAAATATAGACAAATGACTAGGAGCAAAACCATTTGCAAATTGAGCACCACCAATTACCTTTGCATATGCCTTTAGGGAGTTAGTACTGTTTCAGGGTTAACCCGAGTCCACTTTCAGAAGAATGAAAATCGTTTAATTGTGAAGAATTATCCATAAGCAACAGCAGAATGAAAGAAAATATACACATACTGTTCAGACAGACGAAAAACTAACGGACGGATATTGTAACACTGACTCTCATGTTTTGGGTTTCCCTTTTTTCTTTTTTAAATTAGTGAAACAGATACATGTGACTGAACTAACCGACAATAACGAAGACGATGTTTTGCCCCACTACGTTCAACAACTACTATGGTGAATATTATCCGTTGCTGTTTGTCATTTTTTGACGTTTGACCAGAAGGTTTGATCTTGGGACCTTTAAATACCCTAGGTCAACTGGCCTTCCTTTGATCATACACACAGAGCGCTAAATATCGACAGCCTCGTTTGCAGTTTTTCTTTGGAGATTTAAAGGTTGTCGATATGGCTGTTTAGGCACCTGTTTCTGGGCTGGTAATGGTTGATATATTATAAGAACTGAGGCACGGAATTTTTTTTCCACGGGGAACATTACCGTCTTAATCAGAGTGATTCATTCCGACAGAAATTTTCCTTTATCCCAGTCTGTTTCTTTCTTATTGTCTCTTTTTGTCATTGTATTGTTTTGTCAATGTCATTGTTTTTTTCATTGTTTCTGAATCTTTTCAGTCTTGGGAGAAACTGTGAATACAATTTTCTGACTGGAACACAAACTGTAAAAACAGTTTGAACGCGTGGTGGGCCATTTAAAAGAAATTTATCGTTTGCTTGGTACCAGCCGATAGATTTTTGTTTTGTCTGTTCGCTTGTTTCTTGTCCTTGAAACATAGGTAGAACAGGGTCACTCCTCTAGACTTGGTGTGTATGATATTGTAATGAATCTTGAACATGAGTCGACCTTTGACCCCCAAATGCATCTAAGAAATAATGCCACTGTCCTATAGTAGCAACAAAGTATGTAGTTGACCCAGAAAAGGAATGACCAATTATCTGCGCATTTTCTTGTTGAAGTCAATATTGTGTATTACAGATGAAACTGGACATATATAATCAAGGGTGCTGGCAATGTGGAAAAAAGTCTAGCTTTGTAGACACTTTTGTCTCACTGATCGTTCTTCATAATTCGGTTTTAGGTACTTATTATCCACGAATTTCAATGCATTAAGCCACCTTCCACAAAATGGGCTGGTAACTGATAATTTGGCGTTTTAAATAAAGGTTTCGTTGTCATTGTTATTGAGAATAAGAAGAAACAAGTCTGACCACTTTTAATGCTTGACGCTGTTGATTATTAGAAACCAGATAGAAATATTTTATGTTGACTATGTAATTATGTGCAGAATGCAAATCGTAATTTAATGACGCGCCAGTTATCAAGTCTAAGTGGATGAAAATGTGAATAACACACGATTGTTTAAATAATAACATTTCCCACAGTCTATGCGTTGTAACTGTGAACAGGTATTTGGAATTTGGACTCAATACAATTTAAGGATCTAAAATTAAAACGGTGGGAAAAACTGTCAAGATGGCTTTCTTATTAACTCAGCTTTTGTCTGAACGTTAGAGTCACATGTATTAGGCTGGAGATCTTACCTGTAGGAAAGGATGAACTATTCAGTTTAAGAATATCCTTTATACCAAAAGTGGTTGAAATATTTCAGTGGCACTGAATGGAATGGTTTGTACTGCGAAGGGCAATTTTCTCCCATAGTAGCAATTTCACCTAAAATCCCAAACATCCCATAAACATGCAGGTGACGCTAACAGGTTATTAGTACAAGTAGGACTATTTATGGCTTTAAATGGCACTGTGGTGATGAAATATTTTTAAAAATGTGTGGCTTGTTTGGCGACTCAATTGGTTAATCCAATTGTGATATTCGGTAGGCCTACAAACTGCGTTTCTTCTAATGATGTTTATGACCGTTTTTCGAAGTCCTTTGGTTGAGATATCAACAACTACAATAATTTATCAATTACTTTACTCTTGATATAGGCATTCTGATTTCTCATCAGTTTGGTAAATGTATATGCTATGGCGCAGTTTAATCTTACCAATTTATTGTCCAGTTGTGTTTGATATAATTTTAGGTAATAAATAATTAAGGTTGTCACAGCCATGATTAAACTGAAATGGTGAACTATATTGCTAATTATTCTTGACACCAATCCACTTTGCGAGTTTCATAATTTTCGACAGAAATTCGACACTATATTGAAACCGCACGCCCATATGAATTTACTAATGCTAGTTGATAACTCGTTCCAGTTAATGGGCAAAAGTTTACGATACGTTGATTAACCCTGATGCCACTTTTGTTTTGTTGCGTGGCGAGAAGTGAACAGAGCCCTACATATAAATAAACATGGATCGATATGTTACCAGGCTAGCAACAAAGTGGAAAAAAAATCTCGTTCAATAGAGCACCCATGGGCTCCTACAGGCAGGAAATTTTACAAGGCAGTATCCTTTATCGGCTGAAAATCAAGTCATTTGTTTTCAATCTAAGACGATCTTGAAACTCTTCTTATAGGGAATGCAGTTTACCGAGTTTGATATTTTACATCACGTGCGGTCGCTCCCTAATCGCAAACCAAGTGCCCATCCGTCCTTTGTACTGCTTATCTCTTAAATGTAGATCGAAATTTTGCCAACCTAGTTTCCATGTTTTTCTCATTTTTAACATGGACACAATTACTACCAATCAGAATCGATCACTGCAGCTTACAAGATAGACAAGAACAATTAGTGCACCTGTATGCCTGGGAGACAGACAGTTGTGATTGTACATCCTGGAAATTCATTTCCTCACCAGCGCTACCTGCCAGATTGGTGTTACATTATAGATACATAGCAGAGAGTGGTGCGGCGCGGCTCCCCGATGGCAAAAGGGTGCATCTCCTAAAATTGATTTCTGAAAAAAAAATCCACTTCAAATGTTCCACGGCATTGAAGCGCATAATTCCACAGAAAAAACACTGAAGAAAAGCTAAACCCATTTGCCACAAAAATATCACTCGCAATTTTGACAATATTTTCTTGGAGGTAAAGTGATATATCTATTGTAAAATTAATCAATGTGGCAAAAGGGTGTATCTCGAGATAGCACATGTTGTCGTATATACTTAAAAGGGCTCAGTTTATACAAAGACTCGTAATAAGGCAACAGGGTGTGTCTTGAGATGTATCATACTCACTCACTCTAAAACTCTACTGTTAGAAAATAGTATATTTTCATACTAAACACATGTATTGCAAGAAAGTCGTCTTACTTAAACACACACACACACTAATTTATGCAGTGTATCTAGTAAATACACACTTCTGTCTAAGAAATCAACGATGAAGAGTAAAAAAGTGTTGAACATAACACCTGCCATCTCCAGAAAGATACACTCGTATGAGCTCAGGATCTTTTCTCAATGAAACAAGCGCCCTCAACGTCCCAGAAATTATCTTACCACAGAAATTGAAACATAGAACAAGAGAAAAAAAGACACACACCCTTTTTCCTTGAGAGGGCCGAGCATAACAACTGTATGCATATAAAGGGCATATTCGAGCAGAGTTTAGTTCAAAGTCGTGTGTATAGCACTGTAAATTTGTGGAACGATGCTGGTTTACTCACTGACAAAGGCTTTTAATCATCTTGCCGTTACTCATTTAACCAGCGGGCCCTAGACAAAACAAGTACTAGGAATGACGTGAGTGTTGTAAAAATGAGACTGAATTAAACATTTCTAAAATGTATTCATCAATATAAATTGCTTACTGGTGTATGAAAGTCGTATAGCGTGTATAAATACCAATATACCTAATAAATGTCAAGTAAAAAACCCTTTTGGAAATTGTTGTGCGTGTCACTGTAAATCTTTTGAACGTGTAATTCCCTGCAAGTTGTTTTTCCCTTACTGTATATGTATGCCAATCTGACATTGTAAGAGACATTTAGGATATTTACTGAAGCTGTAAAACTGACGTACGTGAAAAAAGACAAGAGTAATCTCAGCCCCAGCCCTCAACTGTGCACTATTTTCCTAACAGTTCCTACACCACTGTACTCGTTCAATACTAAAGATCTCACGAAATAAGTGCGAGAGTACGACAGACCTGCACGCAAAAATCCGAGGGAAGCCTTGTGACAAAACTGTCGTCTTCTTTATTTAACAACCCACCAAATTTAAGGCTAAATAAGACACGTTAAAATGCAAAGATTGTTTTGCTTACTAGTTTTTCGCTCTGCAAAAACATGAGATACACGGGTGGGCTTTTCCTCTATGTCGGGTGTTGTGAATCCAAAGGTTTAGCAAAAGTTCAGGAGGACCTTAGATATCTATCGACGAATGCCCGTTGATTCAAGTACTGCAACCCTCAATGCCCTACCCGGAAGGCACCTGATGGAAATACTGACGAATCCAGGCTTTGGATGCGTTCCATTAGGTTTCACAAGTTGATCCTAGTTTAATTTCGTCCCTACCGTCTCGCATGGTTGACACGGCACATGCGGCCATCTCCAGGTCAGGGCTGCTGGTTACAAGCTAATTGAACGCACGTAATGTAATATTTAAGAACAGTGGGCAGTGAGTTGATGGCTAGTCGTTACCTCTGGCGTTATAGTGGGCTCTTTACTCAAGAATATGTATGGTATTTATCCTTTACCGAAGTGTACTGAGCAACATTGTTTTATAGAAAGACATGAGTTTTGACACGTGAGTATGTACAGTAGTCGTTTCTATGTAAGCACATTACGAAAAGCAGCGTTTATTCGTAATTGAAATGCTTTGTCACTATGCGTAACACAAAGTCTGTCGCAGGACAGTACTAGACGTGATTTTAGGGCCCAATACAACAAACATTATAAGAAAAGTTATAAGGTTAAACTTATCAGCTTACAATTTTTGACATAATAGCGGGTAAGCTAATAATTACAGCGTCACCTGTCCTCCAGGTAACAGAAACTAGCAGATTACTAGAATGAGCAAAAGTAGCCATCTTAATAAGCCATTAATTATCGTCGAAAATGAATAAAAGGCTCATTCCAGAATAATAATTCCCAAATCATCGTTCGGTTTCTGCAAGAGGTTACATATAAAAGCAATGATTCTCTTCATGATAGTATTTTTTTAGTTCAAAGACCGAGGAAATACAAATTTTATTGTCACATTTATTTCAAATTTTCTTAAACTTTGTTTTTAATGGAAAGACCTATGTGAAAAGGTGTTTCCCAGAAAAACTTACTCCATTAAATTTACCACTGTTTACTAATTGAGGATACCTCTCCATTGTTTAAGTGTTTGATTTGCTTTGTTGTCGGCCCCATTATTTTGTTACAAATTGGTTTCAAATGTTTAAAACATCGCCGCCAACGTAGTTAAGAGATGTCTCCAAAGCTTCACCTGTTCAAAGACAGTGGCAGTTAAATGAACTTTATGGAACCCAAGCAAGAAAACAATTCGGTTTGATGCTCCGCCATTGTCGTTGTGGGATGTTTAATCTATCTGCCATCAACAATTTGGCTCAAGAAAACATTTTCAGAATGTATTAAGAGGTATTAACCGGGCCGGTCTGCCCGCAGGACGCCCACATGCACTTCCTACACGGTGCTTATGATCTCGAATGCATTGTTACTTGAGTCTGAGCTGGGGACAAGCTTCATTCCCCGTATAATGGTACCTGGTGGCAAACATGCATGGGTAATATAACTTGATGGATATGTTTAAGTCTTTCCCATTTGGCATCATTTACGTAAAGTGAACTAAGTAATACACGGTAAGAAGCCGCATGTCGGTATGGCTACTGTTGCGTTCAGTCCCCGCAAAAGAGTTGAAGTTGTCCTTTATTAAACAGTTTACATCAGTCACAAAAGCTAAAACCAACACTGAAAATGCATGGAAAACAGATCTTGTTTCCCAACACGGTGCATGCCCTGGCTCTTAAATCCGTGATAAATGACGGTCGCCACCTTTGGCCCCGTCTCGTAGTATAACAGGCATGCCTTGCATACCGGTACCAGATTTAAGAACGATGAATTTCTCACTAACGGCGGCAAAAGATAAAATGCACAGTTACAAAGACGATAGGGATTTTTCTCCCCAGGTTGGGGCGACTGGAGTAATTTGTATTCCAAGGAGCATTTTGTCGATACATTAAAACTGAGTTATCCCCCTGTATGGAGGGTCTGACGGATACTTTCAGAGTGGAAATTCAGCTCCGAAAAACACGTTAGCAATCCCCGCTCAATGTTGAATCTAGGATTCGTCCATATGTCAAGTGCTACCATACCATCTGAACGGTGTTAGCCTATAGTAAACCATTTGCGGAACTCATATACGCTCGTACTTTTAGTGTCTGTTGAATTGCTGCATAGTCTCTCCAAGTTGTAATGATTTATTTCCACTGCAGGCCTAAATAATGAATC